TTGTTGGGGAGACCCTCAGAAGAAACAATCCGACATGATAATGCAAAATTAACTTAACCACTACTAATTTATTTGACAACTGATCCACTCCTGTTTATGGTTGGCGAGCCTACAGTACTCTTGGTACGTGGTCGATCCCACTGACAAGCCTATGCCAATTACGTAACCTAATTGCCTGGTTATCGTTAGTTTGTCGTTTATTCCTAGGCCTGTGTTGAATAAATTTAAGAACTCCGATGTGGTCAAATCTAATGCATGATGTTTATTTTGATTGCTTTCTATGATTAAGCTGTCTTTCTCCCAACCGTTTTCTTAAAAAACAAAGGGACTTTTGCAATTGCTTCGTCCCTTTCCTTTCTCTTTACTTCTTACCGGGGCCTTCTTCCCCCATAAATACATGATATTTAAGCGGCATTTTTCAGTACTAACGACTGCTATATGATGATAATGCCCATGATAGACCGGCTTCCTGTGACATCAGTGGGTGTAAAGTTCGGAAAACCAACTTCTGTGTGACTCGTCCTAGTAAGCTTGACCCCAATCTTATCGACAAAAATTTGGAAAAGCCCTATACGAACACAACACACTGGATTTTCAAGACCGGTTTGAAACAGTTGGTTGTTTTTTCGTATTGCTTTCTTGCATTTCAATTCCATTTATCAGTAACATATGACGGACAGGTAGTCTTATTGCTAGGAGGCTCAACACATTAGGTTTGTTTCGTATAACCACTGAAGACTCTTAAGTAAACACAATCTAATTGCCCCGTTCTGTACAGAATCAAACAATGCGATGTACAGGAAAAAAAATCCAGCTCAGATCTGTACTCTTCTTTCTTCTCGGATCTCTTATTGGACATGTGCTATTAAGAACATCAAAGTTGCACAAACATGGTTCAACTACCAAACTGAAGATACTCTGCTGTGTTTTCACACATCCGACAAGGCATGATCAACGAGCTATTCACGTACAAAACACCTGGGCACGTCGCTGTGACAAAGTAGTCTTCGCAAGCACCGCCAAACATCCGAAGCTCCAAGCTCTTCGTAAGTTCTAGACTAGATTGAGTCGTGGACACAAGTGGAACTATGGGAAGAACGACGGCTCCGTTTGTGCGCGAGACACACTGTTTTGCCCTTTGTTAGCCAAGTGTGTTGGGGGCATATTGTATGTTAATAGTTAATGGTATATTATTACAAAAGTAGCAGCACCATCAAATATATTCCCACCACACGTCGGCTGGATGTGCAACAAAGCTTATAATCAACCGGTCAAATGAAACAACCTTCACAGCCTATTCGTGAACTACAATCATTTACACACTAACTTGGCTTTGAAAGGTGTCTCAGCTGAATTTCCCGCTTGTGGTATTTTTCTGAAGCTGAGTGTGCTGCACAGGGCTGTCTTCTAGAAATACACTCATTTGCATATCAATTTGGTTTTCACGAGAAACTCAACTGAATTTCTCGTTTATGATATTCTACAAATGAATGTGCTGCACACAGGCCGCCTCATGTTTCAGTTGGCACGATATTCGAGATATCGAAGTATATTTTCATAAAGGAAATTACTCACAAGGTTACTGAAAACTCTTCGACAGCCCACGCCCGGTTTCACCCTTCTTGGGGCTCATCAGTTAGGCACAGTCCCCGAGTTTCCGTCAACCTTATGTTCTACTTGAACCCAAATTGGACTGTTTTCGAGAAATACACTTATTTGCAAATCAGTTTGGTTTTCACGAGAGATTCAACTGAAAATCTCGTTTATGCTATTCCGAAAAGGGCGAAACCTGTCGTGGGCTGTCGAAGAGTTTTCAGCAACCTTGTGAGTAGTTTCCTTTATGAAAACGCTTTCTTCTATTTCAGTTAGTACCACAATCGAGATCTCGCAGTACGTCCCATAGACGTAACTCACTCCCCATAAGGTCTCTGACTGAGCTCCATCGGTTAGATGAACTCCCTGAAGAAATCAATGGCTCACTGGTTTCTGCTTTGTCATCAACCCCTCGGAATAGTGAAAGTGAACTCATAGTTAGAAGAATACTCTGCAAATTTCTGCCCCAGTTTACCCCTTTGAACAAAAATTTTTTACACTTTTGAAGCCTTATAAGTTTCTGACGAAGGTAACTTTCGGGATTCGGGATTTTCCGGGTTGGAACTAGTTTGCTTTCCTATGGTTCGCTCTGGCAATTAAGAAAATGCATGTCTATCTGGCAACATCATTCGATCTGTATCCGTTCAACCTACCGGTCTTCAAATGAATAGATCATGGTGTTGGAATATCTGTGCTGACTACTCGTTTTACACCACTGGGTGTATCAGAATCAATTATAGAGAAAAAAGCGTAAAAAGTAGGGCAAAAGCATCCGCAGTAAGGTAGTGACTTTCTAACCAATGGCATTCGTCTGCACGGGACATTATTGGAGTTTTATGAATAAAATTTGTCTTCGAGTTCCGAAAACCTGAGTAGCAGGTGCAGCTTCACAAAGCTATCTCCTATGAAACTCCTGTAAAAATAGATTTAGTCGGTGAGGATTATGATGTTCATTGTGTGTGAAACCAAGATTTTCGCGTATCTGAGGCAGAAGTGGTACTTCATAAGCGGAGCTTCTGTGGTGAATTTATCTGAACATTTTATTCCTCAGGTGATCTTGAGTTTAAACACTCGACAGCCGCATGTCATTTTGACTGTCAGAATTACGTGCACCTACGGCAACAAAAAAATCATCATGAATTGAAATATTGTTTACTAACCTTATTCGTCCTTGTAATGGATATCTGACCTCACATGAGAGTTCAGTCAATTTAGTCTGAAATTTTGCATTTTTTATCGCCCCAAACGTACACCGATGGTATACTACTTGATTCCCTAGTAAAGTCTCCAGTGTTTAACGCATTGGCGTATTAATTAGGCTGTACAAGAGAATATCTTTCGAATTCTGACACTCCATTTTTTCCCTTCAACAAGACAATAAGTTTAAATTTGTCTCAAATGACTGATGGTGTCGTGATTTGTGATATTTGCATAACCAACGGATAAACAGAAGCTAAGTTGTGGTATATGGAAACCCTTGTTTTGCCTCACTTAGTTAGTAGGAATTCAGAAAGACAAATGAACAACCAACATAGGAGAGGCAATTCGTGCGCGATTTCATGGCCAACACGTTGAAAGTTCCGTATGCTGATTAGGCGACCATTAGAGTGACGTATTCCGGTTGGAGAACCATGTGCTTTTATAAAATTATCTCAGTTACGACGCGAACAATGAACCTCCTACCGACGACATCCTTAAAGGTTTTGTTCTGTAACCCGAGGATAGCTATTGACAACAACGATTGCGAATAAAAACTTTAACTTTGCTAAGCGATCACACATTCTTCTTGCTCTGTTACTAAACAGCCCGATGATTTATAGTTTCACACATCGTCCTGTGCGAAAACTTGACCCTCCATTTTTCGATTTGTGAAACATCGGGTTTTTTACCTGCCACTGCGATAACAAGAGTAGTGCTGTCCAACGGACAATCACGAAAAACAGAAGGCCGATGAATCAACCAATCAAATGAGTAAAACTCACCCCACAAAGCAAGAAGGAAACGACCGAATCACAGCATGATAACCACATACAGAACTGCCGAATTAAATGCACCCAACGAACCAACCGGACACAGGAGATCGAGACCACGTGAGATTCATAGGAGACCAAGCAAACTACACAAAGACCGTTTCCAGAACTACCAGATACTGTTTAAAAGCTATATAATCACAGGCAGAAGAGGAGGAATTCACCCACTCAAACCTGCACTGACGATGTCACCTCGATTGATAATGAAACGTTTGCAATCCAACTGCCAAGCTCGGCGAACAGACCAACAACCAAGTAGTGCTGTCCATATAACAATTTCAGATCATGCGAACACGTGACAACTCACGATAGAAATTAATTAATCTTTGCTTTAATTAGGTTTTTGTTTGACAACCTAACCTGAGTTCAATCGAGGACCTCAAAGGAACACCACTGGGACGTATTGCGGAAATTTCGACGAAAAAACTGGAGCAAACTGTGCTACCAGACATCAGACGGAAAATATGGATACTGCATTTAGACGTTTGCCATTGTGAGAACAAATGAAGTCGTACGAGCAAAGCAAATACTGAAAAATGTGCTTCCTGAAATTCGCTTCACAATGGAAGCGGAGGAGAACAACAGTTTGGCGTTTCTGTATGTGTTTGTCATAAAGACAACAGACGGCAAACTAATAAATAAAGTGTACACGAAAGAAATGCACAGGAAGCAGACTGCGAACAACTTTAGCAACTAATCGAATCGTCAAGAAAGAAGCTATTTTCGAACTCTATTCAAGCGGATCTAGACGCACTCCAACACAATGGAGCCGAGTTAGACAGAAGATCGAAGACCTTACCAGACATTCCAAAATTATGGCTTCCCGAAGACTTTCATATAGAGATATCTGCGAGGCGTGACACTCCACAGAATAATTTGTCAATAAACACATCGACATCGACTTAGTCTGTCAGCCTTTATGAACAAAATAACAACACATTCACGAGACTCTGAACAACATGAGAAATCTGGCGACCAACGGACCAATGGATCGGGGAAGGAAAACTACTGAAAAAAGAAGGCTACGAAATCAACCAATCAAGTGGAACAAATTCTGGCCACAACACTATAAGGAAACGACCCAATCACAGCAGAGGAACAAAACTGCCGAGATGAATACACCCAACGAACCAACCAGACACAAGGAGGTGAAACCACGACGCAACTTATAGTTCAAACTGACAGACCGAATAACTCTAACGCCGCGTCGGGGGCAACCACCCAATATAGAGCTATCAGATACTGTTTAGAAACTACACAAGCATTTGCGGAAGAACAGAGATTCATCCAATTAATCCGGCACTGATAATTTCACATCGATCGGTAATGAAACGTTTGTAATCCAACAACCAAAATTCATTGATGTGTATACTTTAGGATTCCTTTCAATCTTCTATTCACTTGCATCACGAGAAATATTGACAAGGTTTTGAAGAACTGCAAGACTGACCAACATGCACGCTATCCGTTTCTAGCCTTGAAAATGACGCGAGTCGATACCTACAATCACCTGTGGCTAAAAACACAAGCGGCGATTAAAGCAATATACCAGAGCGCCAGTGAATATGACTTTTTCTTCAAGGCAGACGATGACACGTTCGCTGTACTGCCCAATATGCGAAAGCTTTTGGCCACGCATTCACCCAGGGAACCTGTCATGTTTGGAAAGTTGATTTCGGTGGGTTAGTTCGTTTTGTTCACTGTTACCTTCCATAATGACATCCTACGAAACCCAACATTATTATGTGCGCTTCGGTTTTGTATTGGTTGCATTAAAGGCAACTCAGTGTTTCGTGATTAAACATACAGGGAATGTCCATTTCACTGACGCTAACCTGCTGAGTAAATTTTCAGCGAGATAAACGGAGGTTGAGTAGAAATTCGTATTTTAGCTATCAAGCTTAGTAGCAATTTGAGTAGTAATTTAGAAGTTTGGTGACTGGCACATTTTATCAAAAAATTTTGCATGGGCGCCATCTCCTCATCACTAGGTACGCCTAAATCTACATCAGCAAAAACCCACAAACATTTCCCAATCCTACGAGATGGGTAGTCCAGCAGCCTCCCTTATCTAACTACAAACCAGTTTTACTCTGGTGAAAACCCCAAATAAGGAGCACTCAAAATCTTATAGGCGCCAACATTTTAGTGTCAGAAATTTTTCAGGTATACACAAAATTCCAGTGAAGAACTAGATGAGAAAATCCGAGACCCACTAATACCTGGACCTTAGATACTAGTGAAGGGAAGAAGGCCTTCGCTGCGAAGTTGTTTATTAGAAAATGCTAACTGAACAATTAAAGACTATTGGACAGAGGAGCAAAACTCTCATATGCATCTTGTTTACAAAACTGAATATCCATCTTCTCCTTGAATGAGTCTTTCTGAACTTTTCATTGACTGTTACTCAATTGCAAGCAAATGCTACAGAGCAACTCCACAAAATCCGTCACTTTTCAAGGGACGCGAAACGGATTTACGAGAAAACATACTACTCGCATGTCCCCTCATCAGTAGTATCACCGTTACACTAGCACATAATCACGCTGAATGATTGCAGCAGTGTCAACGCGGGTTGGTGCGCCAACAATCCACTATTGTGCTTCGTTGTCACAAAACCTCATGAAACTTGTTCACCGCATCCGTAACCACGGCTGCTGGCGCGCGCCACCACACTGTAAATCGTGGTTTACAACTCGTTTTGCAATAAGCCACCCCTCAGCCATCTGCCGTGCTACTGTTTAAACAGCTTACAATGGTGACTTCTGATTAATTCACTATTGATGCCATTTGTCTAGGTTTCATTTCCCTCATTCATAAGATTGTAATACTAAACAACACTGGATTAATCAAGTTGATAAACTCTCATTATCTGTAGGTCTGGGATTTTCACTTATCGGACTCCAACTTCGTGGTTTAAGCTTATAAGATAATGTGATAGGTCGTCTGAACAGATGAGTTTATCAATTCGACTGTGTTTAAGATAAGGTGGCCGCAGCAATTGCCTTTTCATTTTTTTGTGCTAACTAAATCCTATGTGCATGTCCGTCGTTGGAACCAAACCATATTGATGTACCTTTGATTAGAGTAACTGGGGTGAAAAATCTAGTAAACCTTACAACCGAAGGATAGGCTGGTGAACCTGCTCTGCCTCCCTGTCACCTGATGGTCCTTTCATAGTCGATCTACCTTTCACTTTTTCTATCTCCAGCGCCATTTGCAAAAGACTCTCGCTTCGTTGTCCTATCCATGAAATATGTTTCTTATTCCAGTGGTTATATGAACTATTTAACTTTGTGGTCAACAGGTACAGTCAATTCTGTTTTAAATTTTCGCTCATATATCTGACATCTCATATCGCTCTCATATCTGACATCCGACACCCTCTCTATCCATTCCTATCCAAGGGCGTTTCAACCTACAACTTTGGGTCAAAATTTAAACTCATCTTCGATGGTGGTACGGTCCTCTGAAACTATGTCGCTATCTACCTAAGCAGACAGTTGGTCCTAAGCCGCGATTCTAGTCTGATAAACTGTGCGCAACCTTGACCAGATGCATTTTCTTCCCTACTGTGCTTTCACAAGCTTTTGAAACACCAGATTTGAAGGCGTGTCCTCAACACATACTCCGATGACAATCTCCGATAAGTAATTAAGAAGCGCTTTTTCATTAGCTGAAATTGTATTTGGGTTTCTATTTCTTTTGGAAAACCCTGTAAGTAGGTCGATTCGTTTCAGCTGCGCTCAGAAGACTCAGATGAGGCGTGGAAGAAGTTCAACGGAGTCTAGGATGAGACCATTCAAATCACGCAGAAGGGCTATGTGAACATACAGAGGTGACTGAGATACAAAGAAGGGAGCCGTGGTTGAAACAATGACCGAAACCAACCAGATCAAATTTTTAGGAGAGGAAGTCTGTCCAAAGGGCGATAGGTACGACATGACTTCATGTGAGAGAGGTATAACAATCAACGACAGTTCAAAATATTTGAATTTTGTCTCCCATCCATACAACGTGCCCAGTTTAATGGCAGGATGAATTTTTACAATCCTACTTGCGTAAAATCTATATTCAATGGGGAAAAATCGCTTCAGAAGTAATCCCAACAAAAGGAGCGAAGCGAGTGAAGTAGGGTAGAACAGTCTTCTTTGCAATTTTCTCAATACGGTCTGTAAAAAAAGGATTAAAGTGCGTCATTTGCTCCTTTTTTGCACTTCTAGAATACAAACCTACTTACTTACTATTCACTCACTCCAATAGATCACCTGTCGAGTGAATTGGTCACATTTTCACCCCATTTTTGTAGAACTCTTGTCCAACCTATTGAGCCTTCATAATGTTTTCATTTCTGTGGCTGAATTCGACTAACCACCAGTGCTTACCATGTTTATCAGCGGCATTCGCCGCTTGTTTTCCCTAGTCTGGGTCAAACTGACAACTGTCTTCCCAAGCGTGAACTTGAGCCTTTATCTAAAGCTGGACTAGTTTAGCCATGCATTTGTGTATTTCATAGTCACATTTCGCAGTTAAATTTTAATAGCATCCACACTAATTGCAAAACCGCTGACAAATCATTATGTCTCATATGCTTACAAGCCGCAGGTTTCGGTAAACCCATGAGTTACTAAATACTACAGAATTCAATGTATGTAGTTCGGAGGGATGAGGGTAGTTGAGAGCGCTTGTGGCAAATCGACTTTATCTGAAGTTAATCAGGTGTGGTCCGGGAGAAGGGTGATGCGTAATGGCGGGTAAATCTTGCAAGTTTTGAACAATGTTTCCGTTAGGAGGAGAATTCGCAAAAAGTTGAAACCCGATAGGTCACCCATGTTGCGATTTGATTTACTGCGTAGCATTTTTACCCTTGTATCTCATGATTGGATACAGGTATGAGCATTCTGTCAACGAGAATAATTCAAAACTAAGAGGGAAGGACCGACAATTTGCCTACCTCACACTTCCATACAAATGAGCTAGTTGGTCAAAGTCAAGGTGTACCTAGAGGAGTGCGATAATCGTTCATTGCCCTACCTTTCATTTCCCATATGGTTTTCTGCTAATCCGTTGTGCGGTGCGTCACAGGAACGGTGCACACGGTAGTTGTTGTGTTCACCACTTCTTTTCAACAGGATTATTGCCCACCCGGCTTTCTTTCCGGTGGAGCCGGCTACGTGCTATCCCATGAATCATTAAAACGGATCGTCGAAAGAGGCATTGACAAACATCCAGCATGCTCAACGAAGGAATTGGATATGGAGGACGTGAGAATCTGTAAGTTCATTTCAGTATAATATGGGAATAGAAATGACACATTTCAGCACGTTGAATTGTTTTTAGCAAGTCAACACCCACTGTAGGCTAAACTAAATTTTACTATTTCCAGTCGTTCACTGCCATTCAAACCTAGGGTTATGGAGTGGAACCATTCCTTACATTTTGATAAACAATTGGGTTGAGCGAATTAAACAAGTTTTCCAAAGAAGCAATAAAACTGGTCACGTTCTAATGTTGACCACTTCGGAAAAGATTTTGCCAATCAATAATCCGATGTGCAAATTAATCACGTCAATCTAACGTGAACAAGTTCGCCTGTTCAGATTAAATTACTCAGGTGCGTCCAAACTGCGCTGGTGAAGTAACGGTAGCACGCTTGCCTTGCTTGTCAGATTTTCAGAGTTCAAACTCTAACGCGGACAAAGATACACACCACTCACTCGAGTCCAATGCTTTGATACGGACTCAACAGAATAACTGGGCCAGGGCAGATATACGACTACTCAAACGAGCGATATGAATGTGGACTACTAAAAATCACCAAGTCTATTGATCAACGGGAGATTTATTCTCCCAAACGGAGCGCGGCTTCACTTTTACACACGCTTTATCAGATTTGTCAGTATGACTTTGCTTTTATGCCTGCCATGTCTTCACACGAGTCCGTTTGGATGGCAAGTCAGCCTTTATTGCGAATGATCTGATATCCCACAGAAATCAGCAACTGAAATTTTTGCACAACTGGAAAACTCGACTTTCAGTTACGTGCACTCAAATCCTTCAACATGCCCTATTTTTAAGCACAGTTTCGTTGGGACATCCCGCGATGGGGAAACTTACACTGAGAAACACATCGACACTTCTGTCGTACAATTCAAAAGGAACATAAGTTGCACCCAAGCAAAAATTCTGCCACCCAAATTCGCTTTCCTGACCCTATGTAATTAACGCTTTCTTGTATGTTAGACGGTAGTTCTACAGTTATGCTAGTTTACAGTTCGGTGTAACTCACAACATCAAGATAAGAATGAATGCAATCATCAGCGGACATGATGAGATGGTTTTCCATTAGACTACATAGTGAGTAGATGTAACGTCCTTGAAACTCGAAGAAGAATGTATCATTTACCACGTACAACTTCAGCCCACTGTTCAGTACAATCTGATTTCCGATTACCTCTGATGCATATTCTCAAACGATCTCCGAGCTATTCTGGGACCCCACCAGCAAAGCTGAGGACAATGACACAGTCGCCAATGAACATATGTTTCGTTCATATTCCCATGACTCCTATTTAGACGGTCATCCTCCTGTCTTGACATAATTATTCTGGTGAGTCCACGCCAAAGAGAGGAAGCACTGAACACGAGTCTAGATCTTATTCGGGTTCATGAACGGCTGCGTGAAAACGTACGCCTGTTCAGACGTATAAATTCAGATGCGTCCAACGTGAGTCGTTGGAGTACCGGTAACAAGCTTGCCTCGCATTTCAGATGCCCGGACTTCAAATCCAGATAAATCCATCAGATATGCACTGTTGATGAGCTCTAATTAGATCGAAACCCGAGACCAGTGCCTCCTTCATTTGATGTAAGCTTACAAGGATAATTACGCCAAGACAGGAGGATGACTGCTCAAACCCCAAAACAGAAACGTATTTTTTGCATGATCTAGAAGGGCCACAACAGTGTGGTGAAGTACGGGTCGATTCGGTCCAACTTTCTAGTCACAACAGTGTTTTACGTACTTCCAGAAAATTGAAGCTGCGGTAATCCACTGCGACAGTAGATGAGCCCAAATCTACCTTCACTTTCGGGGTTAAAAGTAGGCTGTGATAGTGTAGCACGGCTGAATAATCATCCAGATATCATTACGTGAAACACCTAAAAGCATGTTACAGGTTGGCCCTACAGATAATCGCCCCATAGAATCCAATTATCTTTGAACTTACGTAGACCGGCAGCGACACATTAATTGCATAAAAAACGTCAGACGCTGCACCGTGAGGGCATACCATACCACTGAACTTTCGTCGAAACTCTGCACATGGACAGTCGCGCTGCCGCCGATCAGAAAGCTAAAGTCCGTTTTACCCGTTAACCGTAGTATTTTATCAGTTTGCCTTCAGCTGCCGTGCAACTTATGGCAGTAGAACTGACCGAATACGTGGGACGCGTTCCAGGGAACTTTTGCATACACGCATTTGCGTGCTATTTTGTAATAAGCACTTGGTTTCAGCTGGTAACCCATTCGGTTCATCAATCATAAGACATCTGATAGTAAATGGATACGATTTTTATCTTAATGCACCACTCCAGATCGCTTACCTTTCTTGGGGCGTCTTTGACCAGTCGACCGAAACCAGTGCTATACAAGTCAGACCGTGACCCTGAAGTTACCACGGTTCGATTGAACTCGTCACATTATATCAGATCTATTTAAAAATCTCATCATAGTCGTCATTTTTTGCTCCACCTATTTTCCCATTTCTCATACGTTTCAAGGCGTATGACAGTGCGCGAAATTAATTCATCCCTGAAACATTTTCGTTCTCATTCCAATGTTCATTATGGTGATGGATCGCACGTGATCATTATGGCTAAGAGTGAACTGCACTCAACCGTGTCGCCACCATTTACAGCAGTACTGAGACATATCTTCATTCATGGGCTTGTGCGAAGCTTTTTTTCGACTGCATCCTTCTTTGTGCTGTCGATCTCCAGCGCTTAGCATTCGCACAATGGAATTAACTTTTCCAAAGCTACGACGTGCCCTGCTGCATTAAAACAAAGAGGCAACTGAGTTGAAAGTCCGAGTCCAATCTTTTGAACCCTATCTATGCATCCCGGGGTACCAGAAATGCTAGGATAGTATTCCACTAGACTTTTTAAGGCCAGGGGTATGATTGCTCCAGTGGACAGTGAAATTCGGTGAGCTGCAAAGATATGAACGTAGACTAGGATGGATTTTGGTTTGAGCACATACGCAAAAAATGCGATATTTTGGCGTGAAAAGTTTTATTTCATTCGCACATGTTTTGCAACTAAGAACATTGTGCGGCCAATGAGCGCCGTCAATCTCTCAGTTTCTCACACCCGTTACCAAACCCACTTGGTTCCATTTCACAGACCACATGAACAAGCGCATTTTATCTCGCTGGTAGCCGCTATGGAAAACATACTTTACTGATCACATGTCGCCACCACGCAAGCCACTTATGATTTCAGTTAACGGTGGTTACTTGTAGCTGAAGTAGCCGTGGACCAAACCTCACTGATTTTCATTGACTTTGATGTGTCAAAGAGAATTGGGGAATACGTTACCCAAAATCAGGCCGATCCATAACAAACCCCGGTAGTGCCTAAGTTGTCTGAAGGAAGTGCGAACGCTCTGGTGAATCGAGGGAGTGTTGGGACTTCAGAGGGTTCATGGCAGCAGCAGCAAACAGTGAAACATTATTGTACCCTATAACCATAAAGGAGCTGGTGCGTCGCATTGTCTGCCTTTGTCACCTTTAATAAAACCAAGGTAACCCACCCATCCGCCCCGATAGGTCGAGAGATCTCTCCGGTCAGGGGGATGATTAACTACTGACCTGGAAGTTTGTAGTTCAAACCCAACCCTGGATTTTTACTGCTGCTGCTGTTTTGGCTCGGGCAACATATCAAGACCTTGGCCTTTGTATAGCCCTCCATTTGCACAGTGGCTATACACCGAGAGGGTGCCACGCTTGGATCACTATTTTGTATTATTCAGCTCTCTAGCTAACCGGACAGCCAGGGCTGCCTGTATTCTATTCAACAATGAAACAGCTTCTTTCAACCGAGGTATCAGTTACAGTATGGCTCGTGTCAGACACCTGTGCTTTACGGTCCTATTCTGAGAGAAAATGATATGAACAAAAACTCAGACATTGCAAAAGTTACACAAGTAGAATTCAAAAGCTACTTGTGTTGCACAGTGGTGAGTTTTCTCGAGCATCGTTTTTCAAGTCGGATGTGTGTACTTTCGACTAAACTCAAGTTGCTTGTTGGTAATTGTAGGCCAATATGCTGCTGCTAATGTCGACATTTGGGTAGAGTTCAATTTGTAAACAATAGTAACCATACTGAGAAAAACGAGAAAGCGTTTTTTCCAGAAAACCTCTGTGAAAATCGCGACCGGCCCCAGGCCTAAAACCTTAAGTGAATGCTACAAATCAGATGGCATGAGTCATTTACACGGTATTAAAACGTGATATCCTACTTATAGCCGTAATACACTACTCATAAGGTTGCTAAAACCTCTTCAAAACATCACAAACAAGAGATTCAGCTAAGTTCTAGATGAGTGTCCTGTCAAAACCAAACTGGTGTGCAAATGAGTGTATTTTGCTGATGCATCCTATTCTCCATCTACAAATGCGGTCCGTCTTCAAAGAGAGCTTGCATCAATATGTTCCAGAATTTGTATAGTTTTTACACAGGGAAAGTGGTGACAAAACGCAATTTCGCCAACTCTCGTTACTGAGAATTGTCCACGCGGAAGGCCAGACTGATAACAGCTGAAGGGGACAGTAATGGGAAAAGCCTAACACTTTTGCTATAGACTAAACCTAGGGTAAGCTAAAGAAAATGAAACTGCTACTACAGCGAGGGTTGTTTCGATCTACGGCTGTGAGATGTGGCCTACGCGGGCTGCGGGACCAAGACGTATTCGGGTCCTCAACACAGACTGACATAACTTACATGACGAAATTTTAGTTAAAAAATCCAAAAACTACTCACACTTACAATAAATAATCACTGATTTTTCTTCGTTCCACTTCATCCTTAAATTTGTGTTTGGCGGTTTTCTACTCATGAATATATAAGTACATTTGGAACAGTACTTGATTATTGGTTGAACATATTCACTGGAAGCGCAGACGCGATCAGAGTTCGTGTCTTCTATTTAAGAGTTGAAGTTTAAACCTGATGTGTACAGTGTTTTCGATTGCAAATTTCGGTGAATTGCCCATTTTCGGAAGCGTTCCTTTATGAGTCTTAAACAGATACAGGTTCATTAAGATATGATGCTTATTTTGGAAAATAATTCAACGCAAATGACATTGGAAAGTGGACCTACTTAGAGTTCTGATGTTGCTCTTTCACCCCTTTCTCTTAGGTCGATGCGCAAGGGCACTCGGAATCGATATGGTTGAACCAAAAGGTCGTTCTCAGCGGCCACTATTCTTCCATATGTTTCCGCAGTGGATATACGGGATCAACGAAAATTCGGTCAGTCAGATTTCTTATTCTCTCAATATCAATAATTCACATGAGGAACGTCTACATGTAAGCGAACCCTAGAATAAGTAAAATAAGTTGGTGGTCAGAGTTCTCCTACATTAGGATCAATTAGCCGCTCTCTCGTAATCAGTCAAAGTGAAGAAACCAAGGGAATCCACATCGTCATATCATTTGACGCTCTGCGTCTACCAGCATTAGGCACTATACCACAACACTACATTTGACGACTTCAGGGAAACTTCAGTATGGAGTCATAATTCTACGCGGTATAGCTTAGTGGAATAAGATGTTATAGTCCGACGTTCCGGTTGTCGTGGACAACCCCTTTCAATGATTTCTACAATTACCTGATTACCGGTCAAGTGCAGTCATTTGGGTCCGCTATTATGTGCTCCAAGTAAACAGAGATTTCGTGACTAATCCCATTCACCAGCTACCTGCCGAAAATACGTTAACGACAAATTTACCATCATATCATCCACAAGACGACAAAACTCTCTAAGATTTTGAAAAAATAGCGCAGTAGCATAAAATTCCCAATTAAAATTGAGGTCGAATTGAGGACGATCATTTTCCTGACCGCATGTTACGTGTTAACACTAACCATGTATTCTCAGCTGAAATCGACGGAAAACCCACACAATCAGACAGGTCTTTTTAGTACAAGTTTTTCACATCCCCACTACATCAAAAGTGCAGTTTTCGGATCTTTCGTGAATAGTGTCAAAAAACTATGTTTGAATGAGTCCATACGAGCACACGAACTGAAACAGTGCAGCAGAGTATCACAGCAATATAGATGCCCCGTAAGGCTGATCAACCAACCAACGGGGAGAACGCCACCCGAAAGGGTGAGACAGGGAGATGAAAATTCGGTATTTGCCCTGAGAATACCCTGCAGAAATAATAATTTAGACGCTATTCGAAAAATACTTCGAAGTGTGATAGTAAGACATTCTTCCGAGTTGAAAACACCTTACATCGACACCCCGGAAGGACTAATGGCCTTTTGGACCAAAACACCCAGATTGCGTTTCCTAGATTTCCTACACAGAATATCTGGCCAAATACATCGGTCAGACAGTCACGCAACCCCATGTTCGAATCATGGAGCACTTTTCTCCACGACACCCAATCAATTTCAAGAACGTGTACGCGACTCGGCTATTACACTCCACGCACCTGAGTGAAGCCGTCAAATCAACGTTGATGGTACGCGTATACTCCAGCCAGGATTCAAGTCACGCGAAACAGTCATTCGCTGAAGCCAAGCTACAGCAACCGTAGTGATGGTGCCTAAGTCCCGCCTATCTGACTTGCACTCACCATTGTAAGCAATACACGTTTTCCCGCAATTCGCGATATCGTCTAACATTAGGCATCGTTTTCACAGTCGGTGGTGATGGGTGACCTTGAAGATAATTTGTAGAAAAATTCTTTATGCGTAGACATTCATCACTATGAAATGGTAACTTTGAAACGTCGTAGCTTCCGAGAATTCAGTTCCATTGTGCGAATTCTGAACGGCCAACTTAGTAGACAGAGTGGCCAGATGTGAAGCAGGAATCCCAACGCTCGCCCATCACAGTCGTCACAACAAACGAGGGCACAGCCCAGTCGAAGTACACAAACACACGTGTACGCGTACACAGCTAACACACTCATCGCTAAATGAGCTCAGGAACACATCACTCAGAATACATGCTAGTGGACCCAAATGACGATGCGATTGACTCGTACCCAATCGAATGTATAAATCCTTGAGAAGGTCGTTCACAGAAAGTCGGATTATAACATCTTTTTTCATCACGCTGTGTTTGGATTTAGAAGGCTTCCATATCATCATGGTGGAGCTTACCCACGTGGTTGTCAGTCTTGAAAACTTGGGATTCATATAACGCCTCACGAACGTAGATCGTTTTATGACCCCTGGACACAGTCATGCAAATGAACAATGGAATCAAACGTTGTACTAGTTGGGCAATAGAAAATGAGTGCCTTGATTGGTTCTGATGCTTGTTGTCGGTAATCGTGACCTGGTAAACACCTCAAGTGTGTTCAATGAATATCCCGCGCTGAGAAAACTTGTCCTAATGTTGATATTTGGTCTAAATGAGATGGTCGTAGTAGTATCTACAAAAGTCTATGTAAAAATACCGAAATCAAGAATTTTCGGCATAAATAATTTTAGGAATAATTAGCTGATGATGTATTGTGTAGACAGATGTCATTTGGCGTCCAAGTTTAAGGCGATTTTGACAAGCGTAAAAGTCATAAAATTCAACAGACTGAATCTATTTTTATACCGCTCACCAGGATGTCATGAGTAAAAGTCAAAAAGGTGATTCTCACGAATGAGAACATCCAGTTTGAGGGAAACTCAATTCTCACTGCTCGTTACCTGGTAAAGAATTAACTGTGATAATACTAAAGTAATGGTAGTGTGTCATTATTATTCTCTCGCATAAAGTGGGAAATATCCCTAAGAAACTTTGTTGGACAGCTGGCTAGTACTTCAGAGAGCCTCACATGTAAACACCCCTTGAAAGCAAGGTCTTGTTCGGAGTTAGTACTTTTTGAAAAAAGTGTTGCTTCGTACGTTTGTTTGGTCCCAGAATGTACCCTATCCCGATGTGGAAAATAATGAGTGACTCGGGGTTGTTTGTTGTTAATACATTTATGCTTATCACTGTTTATCCATGTCCCAGGTGTACGAGCGTGTTGGGATTTCGGTCGCCTGAGTTCGATCCCTCAGCTGAGCTTGTGCTTCCGTTCACGATATATTGTAACTCTTTTTTGGAAGGTACTTCACCATTCAATTGATTTGCACTTTTTTCTTCGGAAGACTGCGCTATAAGGTCACCATAGAAGGAAACTTACATTTTCTTCTAGAGTATGAATGGATTCTAAGCATGAAAGTTGCGGCCTGTGATAAAACGACCATCAAATTCTAAAACAATGGCATAAGTGAGTTTGTTGGAAAATAGAGCCTTCTATGGTAAAAATGCGTGCAGCATTGCAGTGGTCATCTTAACTCTTGAAAGCGCTTTTTGTCACTAGATCTGACTGAATACATCAACAGAAATAGGGCCACTTTCGCCACTTCCCTTGCGGTATGGAAAGTTTAATATCCACGTAGCTAAGCAGTTAACGTCACGAACCCGAGTTCGAGTCCGCACCGGCCTCTGCTTTAAAAGAGTGTACACATGTTGCTTCAACACTGAGAATGCGGATAATACATATTTGCCTGTCTAAATAAGGACTACATTTTTAAGGAATCTTTTGATTTTTCTTTACAGCTTCCGTACAATCCAGACCAAGTCAGTTTTCATTACATCCAACCAGCACAACTATACATCATTGAGTTTCTCATCTATTTCCTGCATCCTGTTGGGCTGAATTGATGAATGTTCTGTATTAGGCCTTTTTTCTCGTTTCAACCTGAAGCAATGCAAGAGCAAAATCTGTTGAAACCACCGTTTTTCATGTTTGAATTTAATCCAATGTGATGAGACTAATTTGAGGTCTGACTGGCTTTGCCAGCTTTGCCCAGTGAGTGCAAATAGGAAAGTGTTAAACAGCCACATGACGAAGTCAAAAGCACGTGCCCAAATAAACGTTGGTTCTGATTGGTCAATCCGCTCACTTTGACGCACCAATAACTTATTCCTATCATTCGCAGCCGAGATTTTAGCCTATCGTTGAGGTCAACCTATGCTGAAAGGCGGAGAAACACAGTACAGCTGTTTCGTCAGCAGTAAGCATCTCGCCAAAATCAGAGAGTTTCGAGCCCGTGACCTTCCGGTGAATGGTTGAACAAGGAACCGTTCTGCGAGGAGCGGCTAAACAGCAATGTTCAAAACCCCTTGAGGCTTCGTGAGCTACGAGCTTCTGTTCGTTCTCAACAAGGCCGAAACATGCACACGGTGTTTTTAGCTTATCGGAATGATTGGCTTCACTGAAAGGACAAAATCTCGGATCAAAATTACCAGATCTAGTCACGCTGCCAAATTATCATTCCCATACTACTTATCAGGATAAATCTCAACCATTCCTTATCCCAAAACGCTGGTCTGTTGAAAAAAGTTCACAACACTCATTCTAATATTGACACCACTAAAAACTGTGGAAAGTAACAGGTACTTTGTGTTTCATTCTGAGGGGTACACGTCAAGTGAGTGCACACAACCAAAGTTTGTTGTCCAAACTCCTAAACTCACCAACGCACGCCGGTATATATATATATATATATATATATATATATATATATATACTTTATATGAA